ACAGGCCTTAAAGTTGCAGTGATTCTCCTGCTTCAGGTGCAGGGGCTGGGATTACAGGAATCACTACACCTGGTAGGGTTCTGGTTTTTGTCTCTATTCTTTGGTTGGTGGACAAGTGTCAAAACAAAAAACAAAACAGTGTGCCACGTGTGGTGGTGCATACACCTTTAACTCCAGCACTTGAGAGGCTGAGGCAGGAGGATTACCCAGTTCAAAACCAGGATGAACTACACAGTAAAACCCTGCCTCCAAAAACCAACCAAACAAAAAACCAGTGAACTCTCCACATGCCCTTCACCTTTGGCACCAGGATTGTGGTGGGACTTGGAGAACAGTTAAAAGTCTGGGGTAACTCTTACTCAGACCCGCGGTAGGATTAAGGAAGGGGTCTGAGGTGCGCCAGGCGGCCCCTGGATTATTAATCTAGAGGCAGGGAGCCACCACTACTACCGAGTGGATGGTAAGGCCAACTCAGCGCTTAAATGCTTCAAAAATCTGCCTTGGTCCTTCCAGAGTGGAGATAATTAAGTGACCATTCCAAAGGCACTCAAGTAAATACGGTGCTGGGCCTCGTTATGATTCCTACTTAGAGCCCAGGAGATAAGTGCGATGCCCGGGTAACAGGATCTGACTCCAAGACTGCACATTTTTTAATCCACCACCGGACACCATGGGGCCCGGGCGGGGCGGCGAGCAGGCTCTTCTAGGGCCCGGACCTTGACCTTATTTTCCCACCTCCTTGCTCCCGAGGGATGTTCGGGAGGTGGGTCTGGTTTCGGGTCCTGAGTCAGTGCTAGACCAGTGAGGACCGATGAGGTGGTCCAGGGTGGTCCCGGATCCCGTCCGAGAAGCGAAGGTCAAGCAAGTGCTGCGAGGCCAGGACCAACCTGATCAATAAGCCGGTTAGTTCCCTTATTTCTGCCAGAAGCTGGGACAGGACCTTAGGCGGGAGCAGGCGTGGGCAGAGCCAAAGGGCACTCAGTCTTGTTGATTGGCCGCGGCTGCAGAGCTGTCTCTCTAGGATTGCACCTTTTCCCTTAGGGAGGCGGGGCCTTGAGACCCTTTCACCAATAGAGTGCACAGAATAAGCCTCAGAGCCGGACACTTCCGGTGTTGCTCCTTGCTCCGTATAACCAAGGCCGCTGCTCTGGATACCAGGGCCGCGGTGTGCAGGATCACTTCCGGGTGATGCTTCACGGCCAAGAGCCGTGATTGGATAACCATAGGGATACTTCCGGTGTCCAGGTGCTGGTTTCTTTGGCAGGAAGAGAAAGATGGGTTCCTACCCCGTGGCCCGTGCTTGGTCGTTCTTATGGCTGCTGCTGCCCTTGCTTGGTTCAGTGTACGCCAGCGGTCCCCGCACCCTAGTGTTGCTGGACAACCTCAACCTGCGGGAGACACACTCGCTTTTCTTCCGGAGCCTGAAGGGTAAGAGTGGGGTCGGAGGGGAAGGCGGGTGAGGATCTGGGGTTGGAAAGGCACCCGAGGGCATCACCGCCCTCTCCCACTTCGTTTCCTGGAGCCGGCCGCCCAGGTCGTGCCAACGCCTGCGTAGGGATGGGGCCGCATTATATACAGCAGCGGTTTCCCTTAGCGTCCGGTGTCTCAGCTCCGTTTCCTTTGCGTGCAGACCGAGGCTTTGAGCTCACATTCAAGACCGCTGATGACCCCAGCCTGTCTCTCATTAAGTACGGGGAGTTCCTCTATGATAATCTCATCGTCTTCTCACCCTCGGTAGAAGGTAAGGACTTCGCGTTTCCCCAGCACTGGGAGTGGAGGCCCAGGACGGATGCATTGCTTTTATCTGGTTCTTGGGGTGTTGGGGGCTGGGGGTGGATTGCCAGCTCTTGGCATTGCCGCTACCAGAGAAGAGGAAATGGTTCATTTCTAACCTGGGTTCAGGAGGGGACATTTTTCTAAAAGACACTGCTAGAATCGTGGAGTCACTTGTTGCCTTGGACGATGGAACTCAGGGTCTTGCTGCTCTACCGAGAAGGGGTTTTTCTCTACAAAGGGCCTGATAGAAGAAGAGCCCTCAGTTGGGTTTGCCTGTGTGGAAGGAGGAACTGGTGTGTTATTAGTGTAGAGTGCTGTAAAGAGGCATTGTTCAGTGTGGTAGTTGATCTTAAGAATTCAGATAGATGCAGTCTCCAGCTGAAAAAGAACCTTAGCAATTAACACCACCACCCCCTATTTGAGGTTGGATGATTATGTCCAGCAGCCTAGCAGAGGGTTGATTGTTAAATACAAGGAATATGTTCATGGTATTATCTAATATGTACTTAAGTATTACTATCTTAAGAGGCATTCCACTCCACCAGTGGACGGTTCTGTTATTATTTTTTTCTCCTTCCTACTTTATTTTGGAAGGTGATATTCTTATACACAATAGGGCCTTAGAGGATAAGGCTGATGCTTATTCTGCTGAGATCATTGCCTTTATAGAGTCATATTTTACCCAGTTAATTTCTTTCTTTCTTTTCTTTGGTATTGGCGATTGAACACAGGGCCTTTGCACTGACCTACATCCCCAGCACTTTTTTTAAAACTTTGAAATAGAGTCTCACTAAGTCACTAGGTTGCCCAGGCTGGGCTCGAACTTGGAATCCTCATGACTGAGCTTCTCAGAGTGCTGGGATGACAGGCATATACCACTACTCCTGGCTTGAGTGTTTCTTCTCCTGAGTAAATATCCCCAGTTCCTCTGGGTATTTCTGTTCTCATGGTTTTTTTTTTGGTGAACTTGCCAGTCATTCTCTTACTGCTTCAGAGTATCTTTTTCTCATAGAACTCAGGCTGTCCCTGTCTGGGTAGGATGTCCCTGCCATCCCTCCCTCCAGTAGCTAAAGCTTAGGAAACCTTTCTCTTTGTTGGCAGCTGCTTTGTTTTCTGTAGCTCTTGTGAGATTGGGTTCTGCCAGAGCCCTGAAGTATTTTTCTCCGAGCACCTGTCACTTTCGCCAACTCCCCTGCACCATGTGCCTTTGGAATTGATTTTTGGAGGCAAAAGCAGTTGAACAAATGTGACCCCAGACTGAACAAGTTGAAATCTTGAAATGACTGGGCGGGTGGAGCCTTCCACAAAGTGATTATTTCTGTTGAGTTTTTGGGACTCTGGAATAGGCACGATCCAGTGGATGGGTGTGAGAGTAAGGGTAGAGGCCCTGCTCTTGAGGAGTGTGCTTTCACTCTGTTCTTGAGAAAGTGAAAAATAGAAGACTGGAAATGAGTTACCAGGCCTTCTGTTGGGATGTAAGAGGACATGGAGGAACCCAAGGTGTGCTTCTGGAGATAGATTGGGAAGGAAAGAGACAGTGGATCAGACAGATTGGGAGGAGAAGGTCAGGAGAGGGTGCTGTGGGTGCTAGAAAGGTAAGAGGGCCTAAAACAGGGTTTCTCACGTTAGAAGTTAGTCATTTGCATACCTCCTTCAGGGTGTGATATCTACCACATTCTGTATCACCTCTGCTAATAACTACTTAGTGTTTTTCTTCAGATTTATCATGCCTAAGGAAAAGGAAACTAAAATAATTTTTTTGTTTTTTGAGACAGGATCTCACTATGTAGTTTAGGCTGGTGATCCACCTGCCTCAGCTGCCCGAGGGCTGGGACAACAGGTGTGCACTGCTATGCCCAGCTTAAAATAACATTTTAAAAGGGAATTAATAATGAACACATTATCACCACTTTTTGAAAATGGGAAGTCAGTATCATCACTTGATGTGGGCAGAACTAGGGGGAGTAAAAGCAGTGCTGGTAAGTTCTAGCCAGGTACTACTTCCTGCTGCAGATCTGAGCCTGAGGCTCCCTCTTCCGGCCAGCTGTGAGCAGGTGTAGAGATGTGCTAAAGACTGGCATTAAACGAAGACGTTTTCTTTGATGGAGAAAGCATAAATGGAAAAGGAGTAGCTTTCTCTCTGTGAGATTGAGCCTATCTCCACGTCACTGTTGTCACCTTTTCTGCCCCGGTGAGTGGGTCCCATCTGGGAGCTGCTGTCGGCAGGAAATCCTCTCAGGCATCCTGGGGAGAAGGCTTCTGGGGGGTCAGGGGAGGGGTTTGGCCTGCTCTGGGGGCCCTGTGTGGTCTGCGGCCGTGTTTGCTCATCCATGTGTGCAGCTCTTCCAGGCTCCCTTCTCCAGGCACCAGCGGGCCCCCTGCTTCATCAGGGACCAGGAGGCTTCCAGGCTGCCTGCAGTAATGACCCGGGGGACTAGATCTTTAGCTCTTAAAACGCTGGGTCCCTGTTCTGTGGGTGGTGAGAATGGCTCTGAGCGGCGCAGGGTTCTGCCTAGTTAACCCTAGGCTATCTCAGCTCCACAGCCGCTTTTCTTCTCTGCAAGGGTTTTCAGCAATGGCGCTTTGCTTTTTCTTTCCCTTTCTTCGCCACTCCCTCCCTCTCCCGCCTCTTCCTCCCTTTTTTTTCTCTCTCTCTCTCCGTCTCTCTTCCTCCCCCTCCTGCCTTTCTCCCCTCTACCCTATTTCTTTCTCTCCCTTCTCCCTCCTTTGTTTTTTTACAGTGCTGGGGATGGAACCCAGGGTCTGGTTCGTGCCAGCTAAACGCTCTACCACCAGGCCTCACGCCATCCCCTAGCAGCAGCCCTTTGACATTCTTTGTGCTGGGTGCTGTCCTGTGCACTGCAGGGTGTTGAGCAACATCGCAGGCCTCTACTCACTAGACACCAGTAGCTTCTTCCCCACCATTGTGACCCCTGAAAATGTCTCCAGATAGGGCCCTCCGGGGCCACATGGCCCCAGGTTGAAAGCCACTGCGCTGTACCAAGAAGCTGTTCTTGACTTAAGAGCACCTGGCTTCTGTAGGACAGTGGCTAGATGGCTTTTTAGATGTGCTAAGAGGCAGTGTTCCCAGGTGCAGGGGTCTGTTTACACCTAAGTGTTTTTTCCTGAAGATCCAACAAAGGGCCGTTCCCCTACACACATCTCTTCCGAGTCAGTGCACTTCCTGTCCACCTGTCAGGTGGTGTCTCATGGGCAGACTTCTGCGTGTGGTCTTGACGAACTGGCACTTCCCTCTTTCCACTTGCTCGGGCCACTCTTCAGGTCTATTCGTAAGGCCTCTCTTTTGGTCACAGCCTCATCCAGTCTGTGCACAGGCCCTGAGGGAAGGCCCTCACTCCTGCGTGGCCTGTCACACTTGTCACAGCCCTGGCTTCAGTTCTTTTAACCCAGCACCGCTCCTGTCCTATCCCCCAGGCCCACCTTTAAAAACATAACCAAGTTATGTCAGACTCCTGCTCACATTCTCTGGCGACTCCCCTCCGCAAGGCCTCATGTGCTCCAGTGCAAGCCTCCTGAACTGTCCCTCACCTCCCTGGTCTGCATCTGTGGCCCAGCCGCTCTGGGCTCCCTGCAGGGCAGCATGGGCCCCGCGTCCCAGACCGCAGACTTTGTGCCTGTTGTTCCCTCTGCCCAGCGTGCCGCCTGGCCCACTCTCATGTCTGCTCAGATGTCACTTGCTGGAGGGCTTCCCTCACCAAGCATGGCCCAGTAGCCCCCTCTCCCATTGTCCTTTTTCTTCCCAGCACATAGATACTTAGCTGTTAACAGATAAATGAATTGCTGAGCACGCGGTCCACTACCTTATTTTGAACATTAGAATTCACTTTGGCAGAGACTGTTGAGGCTAATTGAAGCTCATTCCTAATTTTGGATTTGGCGTTACAGTGGTGGTTATCTGACCAAACTGACCAAAAGAGATGTGATCTCATGGTCGCAGAGGTTAGAAGTTAATGAGCCTTTTTGGTGATCGTGTTGAAGAAGCGGTATGAGTGGTTCCCTTGTGGGCAGCATGGATACAAATCTGCGTGGTTACAGGAGGGAAAAACCTATGAACGATGGGCCACTCAGTATAGTCGCAGGTGAGAGTGTTGTCCACAGATTTAGGAGTGCTTTTTCTCAAACAGCTTAAATGAAGTAAAATCGATAGGCTCTGGGAACCTATTAAGTGAGCCAGCTGTGGCTCCACTGAAGACAAAGATACCGGGGGAAGGTACAGGTGAAGACACTGGAGTAACATCGTTCCAGGGAATGTGAGCGGCACATTGTTTTTCTCAGTGAGCGTCCTGTGCGCTGATACGTGACCTGAAATCCTTGACAAAGGGAATTAGCACGTTTGACTAGTTTCACTAGTTCATTAAAGCTCGTGGATCTGAGCCGTTACTTTGAATCGCCGCTCTGGGAAAATGGGGGCCTGCCCTTCCTCAGATGTGGTATACTGACCTGCTTTTTACTGTGGGCTTGCAAAGGTCCCACCCTGATTGGTTGTGGCCGGTCTGCAGGGTCCCCCACCTCCACCCCTACCTGTGTCAGCAGTGAGATGCTACCTTCTGGTTACCTTCTTTCAGATTTTGGAGGCAACATTAATGTGGAGACAATCAGTGCCTTTATTGACGGTGGAGGCAGTGTCCTGGTGGCTGCCAGCTCAGACATCGGTAAGTCTGGCCTCGGAAGTTCTGGTGCTTGCTGCCGTTTGCCCCTGGGAACTTGGAAAGCTTTAAACAAATGGAAGCTGTCAAATTGGCTTTCACGGGGTAGGCCGTGGCCAGGAAGTCAGTGAGCGAGCTGCTGGGCCATTTGGCACTTGGTCCCGCCTGTGCTTTCCTGTGACCAGAGACAATGAGATACAGGTCTTTGAAGGGCTGCAAACCCTGGCTGGGTTTTTTGTTTGGTTTTGTTGGCTCTTCCCTTCCAGAAAGATGGCAAATCAAGGGAACCCAAAGCATCTGACAGATTTTTATTTTGTTTTCTATTTTGGAAAATTTCAGAGATACCTAGAAGTAAGTAGGGCATTGTGTCCTTAGCCCCATATGATCACCCAGCTTCAACAGTGAACAACTGGCCAGTCTGATTTCATGTTTCTCAGTACAGATTTTAAAGCCACCTTCCTCGTAATGGACTGGCAAAACCTTGTAAGCCCAGGCTCACTGGGCTGGGGTTGGCTGAGGTGGCGCCTTGCTTCAGAGGGGTTGTGCTGCCCCAGGTGATCGTGTGTTGTGGAGGGAGAGGGCCTGGCTGTTGCCTTGTCTCATCAGTTCAGAGCCTGATGAAGCTGCAGGGAGTTGGAGGTGATTAGTATTGAGGGAGCCACAAGGAAGCTGTGGCCCTGCTTCTCCTGGCCCACCTGTAAAGGGTCAGCTCGGCATCTCCTGGGTCTGTGCAGGCGACCCTCTTCGAGAGTTGGGCAGTGAATGCGGGATTGAATTCGATGAGGAGAGAACGGCTGTCATTGACCACCATAACTACGACATCTCAGACCTTGGCCAGGTAATGAGCCTGCCACCTTCAGGGTTTCTGGCATGTACAGCAAAGCTTAGCCCAGCCTAGAGACCACCATAACTACGAGAGGGAGCCAGGAGGGGCTTCTTGACCCACGGAACCTCTTCCCAACCCTCCTGTTTCCATCTGCTTCTTGCAGCATACACTCATTGTGGCTGACACAGAGAACCTCCTAAAGGCCCCAACTATCGTTGGGAAATCAGCTCTGAATCCGATCCTCTTCCGAGGAGTTGGGTGAGTGAGCAGGGAGAGAGCAGCAGAACCCTGGGGGAAGAAGGGGCCACCAAGCCAAACTTAGGGTCATTTGGGGACATTCCTTCTCCCAGAGGATGTGGGTGGGCTTCATTTGTTATGGCAAGAGGAGAGCTAAGTGTTATTAAGAAAGAAGGATTTATCCCTGAGAAGAAGTGGTCCTCAGGGACCCCACATCCTTTGGGCTCAGCCCCTGGGCTGCTGTCTTATCCTGCAGGATGGTGGCTGATCCTGACAATCCCTTGGTATTGGACATCCTGACGGGCTCGTCCACCTCTTACTCCTTCTTCCCAGATAAACCCATTACCCAGGTAAGGGCCTCTGGGGCCTTGAGTCTCTGGCTCTGACGCCCAGTGGCAAAGTGCTTTTTTATATGAAAATGAGAACAAAGAGGAAGCACTTTGCTGAGGCTGATGAAGGGACCAGTTGGTGGGAATGGTCACATGGGCAGCAGCAGTATCATCTCTAGTTCCTTCCTGGGTGGGGACACATAGGTGTTCTGCCTGCTGTCCTCTTGGCTCTGGTGGCTGTTTATCTCGCCACTGTCTGGGTGACCTCTCCTCTGTTCCAGTACCCCCATGCTGTGGGGAAGAACACCCTCCTTATTGCTGGGCTGCAGGCCAGGAACAACGCCCGGGTCATCTTCAGCGGCTCCCTGGACTTCTTCAGTGATGCCTTCTTCAACTCAGCCGTGCAGAAGGCCACGCCTGGCGCCCAGAGGTGGGCATGGGCGTGTGGCCTGGGAGGTGCAGTCCATATGTATGGGGAGGAAAGAGTTTTTTTAGCTACAAGTGTCAGAGGCTGCATGCCTTCCAGAACTTTCCAATTATTTGAGGTGACCTTGTTGCTGTGTTGCTGGTGTTAGCACTGTAGGTGACAAGGTAGTAATGACAGATCTAGGGACCCCCAACCTTCTCCACTTCTTTTAGAAAATTGTGACTTGTTATGCAGAATACTGCCACCCACATCTTATCGGTCTGTGTGGTCCCTTTAACCATGGACCCCTGAGTGCACGAGGCCTGCTGCAGACCTTGCTGACCTGCTCTCAGTGTCAGGCACCCCCCGGAAAGAGGCTGGTGTGGGAGTGCTAGCCCCTCCTTTTCCCTCCTGCAGGTATCCCCAGACGGGCAACTATGAGCTAGCCGTGGCTCTCTCCCGCTGGGTGTTCAAGGAGGAGGGTGTCCTCCGTGTGGGGCCTGTGTCCCATCATCGAGTGGGTGAGACAGCCCCACCCAACGCCTACACTGTCACTGACCTAGTGGTAAGAGCTCTTGGGGTGGGAGGGCCCCAAGGTTTTGACCAAGTTGTATCAGTCCAGCTCAAAATCATTTATCTTCCAGGCCAGGTCAGGAAGAGGGGGATGGGAAGGGGAATAAGGATGAATGAATTTACCTGCATCCCAAAGTAGGCCATTTGAGATGCGGAGCCTGGCACTATGCTGCCATCCTAACAGGAGACGCTTTGAAGGGCTGTGTGTCACTATGGGGTTCCAGGTGCTTAACTCGAGCAGACTGTGCTGCTTAGATCTGCCCAGGAAGTGGGATTTATGAGAGAAATGATGTTTCAGTTGGGTCTTAAAGATGAATTTGTCAGGCAGAGAAGCAGGGAATGTAGAATCTATTGATTGACAGTGCCTGGCGTATTTGGGAATGCAGAGGGCTTCGGATTCTGCTGAGGACCTCAGGTCATGATGAGGCAGAGGTGCTGCCAGGCCTGCTGGGCATGTGGGTGGCCGTGCTCAGGCTGGAAGGTGACAGAGGCTTCACAGGTCGGTGGGGTAGGAATGAAAGGCACCGTGGTGCCCCTGCACCCACTGCCACCCCGGCTGACCCAGCCTTTTGCCTCAGGAGTACAGCATCGTGATCGAGCAGCTCTCCAATGGCAGGTGGGTCCCCTTTGATGGTGACGACATTCAGTTGGAGTTTGTCCGCATCGATCCTTTTGTGCGGACTTTCTTGAAGAGGAAAGGTAAGTGTGATTCCTGCCAGAGCACTTGCTTCCAAGGGCCCTGGCTGAGAAGCGCTTGCAAGATCTTCCTATAACGTGTTGCTTCTTCCACAGGGGGCAAGTACAGCGTCCAGTTCAAGCTGCCGGACGTGTACGGAGTCTTCCAGTTCAAAGTGGATTACAACCGGCTTGGCTACACGCACCTGTACTCTTCCACTCAGGTGAGTGGGGCTGTCCCAGTTTTCAGTCAGCGGGTGCCCTGCTTCTGTCCCCCAGTGGCCGCATCTGCCACCTCTGTCCTGTTGCAGGTGTCAGTGAGGCCGCTGCAGCACACACAGTACGAGCGCTTCATTCCCTCGGCCTATCCCTACTATGCCAGTGCCTTCTCCATGATGGTGGGGCTCTTCATCTTCAGCATCGTCTTCTTACACATGAAGGAGAAGGAGAAGTCAGACTGAGGGGGGTTTTCATGGGGAGTGTGTGTCTGGGTTTTTTGTTTGTTATTAAAGCCATGGGAAAATGGCACAGCCTTACCTCAGCGGGAGATGCAGCATTGAGTACCAAGGGGTGGGGGAGAGGGAATCATTTTTATGTAGGTTTTTCCACCATGAATTGCTACACAGCATTTTTTCTAAGTGCAGTCACTCCTGTTTCTAAAATAAAGAAACGCTGCCCTCACACTTCAGCTGGACCCTGCCTTGCTTTGCTGTCGCGGGGGGTTGCTCTTCAGCCATGCCCAGATGTCCCAGAACGAGCTGCATTTGCTTGTGCCCAAAACTGGACTGTCGCTGAAATGACAGCAGATCCTAACTGCTCTGCAAGGGCTGAAATGAAGTTGTGAGCTCAGAGGGGAAGTAGGGAAGCACTGAACTGGGAAATCTAGAATGACAGCTCTGGGTGAATAGAGTTAGAGAACTGCTTGGTTGGAAACAATCCACCGTTAGGTTCACCTTGTTTTAGGTGGTAGCCGTGTTTTTAAAAAGCATCTGTAAAATTACACATGAAATCTCTTCCTCCATGTTGACGTGTGCCTGGGGAGCTTTCTTATCTTCAGAGTATAAGAACCACTCAGTCAGGTATTTAGTTCAACACATAATGTATTCTGTATTGCAAACTTGCCTTAACGTCTCACAATTCTTGTAAGAAATGTTAGTCCAAAGGTAAGTCAGCAAGTTTAAAATGCCACACTGTTAGTTCCCCTGCACCATTCTGACTGAGCCAGGTTAACTTGGCAGCCACATGGGGACACTTCCTTGGATGCACCCGTCAATGTGCAGGTTTGCTACTGCCCAGGCCTCACGACGAGAGTTTTTCTTGCTGATGCCTGAATATGCTGACCTGCACAAAGGTTTGCGCAGCCCAGGAGGCACATGCTGACTGGGCCCCATGGCCACCTCTTCCAGACCAGCCAAAGCCCATTCCCGGTGCTACAGGCAAATGTTATAAACTCCACCACCCACAGCCACTGCCTTGGCCTAGAGACTCTCTTGAGGCAGGCACAGGTCTTCTAACACATCAGCTGGCCGCTCACTTTGGGAGCTCTGTGAGGACAGGTCCCGGGTTTTAAGGTGGAGCTTTCTGAGAGTCGGCAATGGTACCCAGTGTAACTTCTCCCCTGGTGCAGAGAATGTGCTCCTTTGCATCTGTATGCAAAGAACTCTCGTGTTATCTTTAGCACTCACCTAGTGATCAGTCAGCATTATTTTTTCTAGAGTTAGGTCTTGTGAACTTGTCTAGACCAGGGGATGGAAACTGGCTGGTGGCCAATCTGTCCACCCAGTGCAAGGTAAAAGTGGTTTTTATGCTTCATGGTGGAAAAAAATTAATTTGGAAACACATGAAAATCAAATTTGAGTGTCCATAAATGAAGCTTTGCTGAAATTTACCCAAGCTCATTTGTTTACATAGTTAGGCTGCTTTTGTGCTTCGGTGACAGAGTCAAGTAGTTCTAACAACTTAACGTGCTATCTGGCCCTCTCCAGGATCTGCCAGGATCTCCAGGATCTTCCTTGCTTAGACCACATCTTGATTTTACATCTTGATTTTTCCTTTGTGCAGGACAGCTTAAGCCCACACAGGTTATGGGATGCAGCTGGAGACACCGACTGCAGACCTAACTTTGACTCAATTCCTCCTGTTTGCCATACGTGAGCCCTCCTCTGGCTGACCAGCCCCGCACACTAGCCTTTCCTGACTTGCACCCTCCCAGCTAGGCCTCCTCCCTTGGCACTCACACATCATCAGCACACAGATATTGCCAAGCTGTTTAGTAATGCACCAGGTGGGCAGTCATCACGGAGCTGCCCGCCACGAACAGAGGAGGAGGGCCGCCTGGCAGAGTGCCTCGCACTCCAGGTTAGCCAGAAACAATGTCTTCAGCTTCGTTTCCACATAGCTCTTGTCTGTCAGCCTCTCAGCCAGCAGTGTGGCAGCTGACTGCTGGAGGAGCCAGCCGGTCATCTTGTCTAATTTCAGATGCTTCAGGGCTAGAATGTCTTCGCCCCAGAGGCTTAAATGAAGCACATTTGCAGCCACGCGGGCAGACGGTCTCTGCAACAGGGAGGGAAGCTGAAGCTTAGAACAGCTGGGCAAGCACTCAGCCCACATCTGCTTCGTTAATGCATCATCCTCAGAGCCTTCCCAGCCCAAGCCTTCCACTCTGTCCCCCGATACCCTACCCTAGCTCACCAATACTGGTTGCTCCCTACTGGGCTTCAGGCTTTCCCAAATGTGCAGCTGTGCATGGGGGCAAAGCATAGTTGGAGCACTGTCCACAGCGAGAAGGCCCGTATGCTCTTGTGTATGGCTCTGTCTGGTCCTTGCCTGGGGTGAGGTACATTCTGTTATCGCTCCCGAACTGGGTGTAGCTGCTGTTCTGCTGGCCTCCACTGAGCAGCCACTGTGACCCAGCAGCAGGCCGTGTGCAGTGCAGGGCATCGGTAAATGGTAGAACAGCGTTTTGAGGCCAGGCCTGCCTTGGCTTTCTGCTCAGAGGCACCTGGACCAGACCTGCCACCCACGATGACTTCACACAGACTTGCCTTTATGTTAATTTCACAGTGGCTAGGTCAGCTTTCTGGGGACGTTTTCCTGTCTATCTGATTAGATCTCAGCTGTTTCCATATGCTATATCACTGTTAAACATACCTCAAAAATGCATCCTTTTCCCTCTGAGTAACGTTCTAAGCAACTAGCAAAGCCAAGCGGTGGGACTTAGAACTCTAATGGTTTGGTGGCCAGCTCCCTTATCCCCACGCCACGGCTTATATACAGATGTTCCCCAAGGCTCAGGTATTGAGATGCTCACCCCACGGGCAGATTAACTCACTGAGTGCACAGCTGAACGCCCTGTTAGCAGGCGGGGCCTATCTGGAGGAAGTGGGGCACTGGGGGCGTCCCCCTGAAGGGTGTCTTTTTCTCTGGCTCTGTCCAGCTCTGCTGCCTGCTGCCACGGGTTGAGCAGGTTCCCTCCACTGTGCCCTTCTGCTATGGTGCTCCTGCCTTGGTCCAGCTGACCATGGGCTGAAACCTTGGCAACCATGAGCCAAAATCAGCCTTTTCTCCTTAAAACTGTTATGTCAGGTGTTTTGTCCCAACCAACAGAAAGGTGACTAATACACTTCTGTTTACACTCACATCTACTCCATTTTCTCCCGTAGCTGGCCTTGCCCTGGGTAGGACAGAGGCTCTGTCCGCCCCTGTAGCACCTGCCCAAACCTGACCTTCACTCTGGGATGTGAACAGAATGAAGTCTCCCATCCACACAGTCCCCTAAAACCCTGGGAGCAGCCTCACCTTGCTGGCCTCCCGCTGGAGCAGTGACCTCACGAGCTGTCTCACATCAAGAGGCACAGACTCGGGCAGTGCGGGCAGCTGAGCTTCTTGGTAACTGCGGCTTTCCAGGTGGGCACCACCCTGGCCATAAAAGGGATTGGTGAGCCCAAAGATTTCGTAGGCGATCGTTCCTACCGCCCAGGCGTCGGCCTTGCTGTAGTCAATCACGGCCCTGGGGCCAGGACAGGCTGTGGCCACCTGCTCGGGAAGCAAAGGGTGAGACTCACACACTGGCAAATCTGTGGTACATGCTTCTTTGTCACCTGAGCCAGAGGCTTGAGTGAGTTGTGACTCAGATTCAGAAGGACCTGCTGAAGCTGCCTGAAAACCACATTTGGGATGCCCCAGAGACCCAGGTAAAAGCAAGGTGGCAGGGAAGAAGCCTCATGTCAGTTCCTCCCTGCTGTGAGAACGCAGTGGGGATCCTGTTGGTGGTGGAGGATGCTCAGTGGGACTCTCACCTCAGGAGCCATCAGGCTGCCGTTGCCGCCCCGATCCACGTACCAGCTGGGGAAAGGCAGCTGCAGGCCGATGCTCTCATCAGCCAGGCAGCAGCCAAAGTCAGAGATCACCAGCCAGGGGCAGCCACCTGCAAAGCAGGGGGCAGAAGTAAGCAGTCTCCTCCTCCTTCCCAGGTCCCTACAGAAACTACCACCAGGTCAGGGGTGAGCTGGGCTCATAGAGGCTATGTTGATCAGGAGTGTAGGCCAGCAAGACTTGGTCAGGAGTCCACTTGCCAGAGAGCAGAACAGGAGGACCAGTGACATGGAAGTGCCTTAGGGAAGAAAAGCTCGCCAAGTCCTCAGCAAAGGACTAGATAAAAGACTTTGGCTCCACCTAGGTAATTTTCTAGTAATCAGAGCTGTCCCAAGACCAAAGGAGCTGGTGTTTGGCTCAGATGATCTCTAAGGGGCACTTATACTCCAGTAGTCTTGGATTTGAATTAAAAACCCCAGTAAATCTAAGAAACAGCTACATTAGAAAGGAGTTATTTATAAAAGGATTCACACAGTTCCTTTAAACTGCTAGTTCCTCTGGTCATTTAGTTACACATTTAATTATTTTAAAATCTCTAGTTTAAGAATTTAAACCAGGTGTGGTGGTACATGCCTGTAATCCCAGTACTTGAGAGGCTGAGATAGGATTGTGGTGAGTTTGAGGCCAGCCTGGGCTACATAGAGTTCAGGGTATGCTGAACTACAAAGTGAGACCTGTCTCAAAACAGCAAAGAATTAATCATTACATGTACAGTATTCTCAGACAGGCAGCCTCTACTTGAATGCACCCAGTAATGGGGAAGTCGTCATTTCCAGAGGCAGCATTTGGACAGCTTTCACTGTTTGAAAATTGTTTTTCCAGTTAGCTAAAGTCTACCCATTTTATTCAAGAAAAACTACATTCAAGGCTCTTGATCTGTAACTGGGCAGCAGGAACTTAGGAACAGTTACAGCCCTGTTGCCTGTCCCCCAGAGAGGAGCTGGGGTGCTTGTGCACAGAGGTAAAGGAAGACACGATGACGCAGGACAGCATGAAAAGCCCACATCTGCCCTCTGTGTTCCCTAGAGAGCTGTGAGGAGGGCACAGGCGCCTACCTGAGTCCAGCTCCACAAGGATGTTGTCAGACTTGAGGTCTCTGTGTGCAATGCCCTGCTGAACTAGATGGTCCACGCCTTCCAACAGCTGCAGGGTCATCACCGTGGCCAGGCGGGGGCTTGGAGTGCTCACGCGAAGATACTGGCGCAGGGTGCAGGGGTAGCTAGGAGGGGACAGGGCCTCGCGCTGTCACATAGCCTGCTCCCTAGCATCTCATCCTTTCCTCTGTGGCTTTTGGATTTCTTTTCTCCTATATATCCCTTCTGTTGCCACCCACCCACCATCACAAAGCCAAGGAGTCGAAGTTGCAGCTCCAGAGGTTCAATGTAACCGTGCAGCCACCTGTTTCCTTAAACACCCACTGCAGCAAACATCAGCGGCTCCAGGGGTGAGGAAGGAGGAGCATCTCTTCACGGGCAAGCCGTGGAGAAAGGGTGGGCAGATGTATCCAAAGCACTGGGTGCTCTGGAGGAGGAGGAGGAGGAGTTTTGTTTCCCTGAGAACTCATCCTGATGGGAAAGTGCTGTTTGGGGCAGTGCACACCTGCTGCCCCGCTCTGCTCCTCTCCGAAGCCAGGGAAACACTCCAAGAACAGAGGCGCTCCCACTGGGAAGGCAAAGCAACTCCCAGGTCCTGCCATGCCCCTGCCACTTACTTCTTCATGACGAGGAACAGCGTGCGTCCATGGCCTAGGCCTTCTGGGTGCAGACGAGGGGGCAGCACATCTGGGTAGTCAGTGAGGGCGCCCGGCAGCAGTGGCACGGATGAGGTGAAGGCGCGGAAAACTCGGATGATGTTCGGGTGAGGGGCAAGCTGCTTGGGAGCGCCCTTGGATTTTCTATTCAGTCAAATGGGACAAAGGTATGAGGCTAGCATCAGAGACACCAATTGGAAAAGAAAACGATCAATGGCCACAACAAATACTTGCACTCATTTAGTTACCAAATATTTTCTGTAGGTTTGCTATGTCCTGGGTATCATACGTGGTGTTGGGGACAAAAACCTACTGAGGAGGCTCACCACACTGATCATGCCTCTACTCCATCTTTCAGCCTATCTGCCTACCATCTATCCATCCACCCATCCACCCACCCACCCATCCATCCATCCATCCATCTATCCATCCATTCATCCATCCATCCATGTGGCAGAACACAACAGTTAAGGGACTCTGAGTCAGCCTGGCTTTGAATTCCAGGTCTGCCACCGTGAGTCCTGGCCAAGTCACTCATCTTTTCTGGCTCTGTGTGAAGTGCAAAGGGGATAAGGCAGGGGCATAGTGCATAAGGCTGGTAATACACATCAAGTGCCTAGAATCATGGTCAGCAGAGTAAGCACCCACTGAATATCTACTGTTACCACTACTGACTCAACTAACGTTTATCGTTACCATGGTAGGTATTTGACACTGTGCTAGCAATGGACAATAGCAACCAGCCACAGGGGAGGAAATAAGGATGCTGATGGAAGAGAGAGAACACAGGGCCCACAGGTGAGGCCAGACGATGCTGAAAGCAAGACACCTGCCCTGACCCTTGAGCTGTGTGGGTTCAGTCACATGTGCTCTTATATCACTCCTTTTGTGTCACCCTGGTGCACTCCTGCTCCATGCAGTGTGGTTCCTGCTACGGGGCTGGAGAGAGAATCAGAACCTCAGTGAGGCTGCCTGGCCCCAGCAGATGTCACAAAGTGAGCTCAAGGCCAGCCTGAACTGCATAGCGAGACCTTGTCTCAAAAAGACAAAAATAAAATAAAATAAAATAAAATATGGGATTGGGGATATAGCTCAGTGGTAGACTGAATGCCTAGGTTCAATCCTAGCTCCCACTCACCCCCTGAAAAAGTACAGCCCATTTAAAAGCTGGGCTTTTAAAATTCTTTAAAAAGAATTTTTTCTTTTCTTTTTTTTTTTTCATGAGACAGGGTCTTGCTGTGCAGTTCAGGCTGGCCTTACGCTCACTTTGTAGCCACAACCCTGTCCCAGCCACCCAGTCACCTCAACAGGCACTGACAAAACTTGAGTAAAAGCTGGGTGTGGCGGCGCATGCCTGTAATCCCAGCACTCGGGAGGCTGAGGCAGGATGATCGTTGTGAGTTCCAGACCAGCCTGGGCTACAAAGTGAGCTCAAGGTCAGCCGGAACTGCATAGTGAGACCCTGTCTCAAAAAGAGAAAAATCAACAACAACAACGAAAAACTGCAGTAAACAAGCAAATGCCACGACACCTAAAGGGAGGGACAGGGACCATTTCAGATACGAGGCCGATGCTGCCAGTGCAAAAGGAGCCATCTCCAGCTACTCTGAGCCCTAGCAGCTGGCGCTCAGGTGTGTGCTCTCCTCTACAGAGTTTCGGGGGGCAAGGATAACAATTCTAAGCCACCCCAGCAGCTGCTCCCATCAGCCTGCAGACTCAGTCCCGCTGCCGCCTCGCAGGCTAGCAGGGTCTCCACATGGGGTCCTTAAGTTTCGAATTCCATCTTCCTGCTTTTGACAGAGCTAAGGTCTACAAACCAGCCCTCCACCAAGCACCAGAATTGCAGCCCCCCCCCCCACTGTGGGGTTCAAATGGTAAGGGCAGCACAAGTGTCTCCTCTATCACCAACGAAAGCGCTAGGCGGCAGATTTATGAGCTGAGGTGTAGCTGCCATCTGTGTGTGCCTTCCTGTGCTGCGGGTACCTCCTTGCCCTCATCTAGGCAAAGGCTGTTCCTCCTTCCAAATGCAGCACCAACTGTCCCTCCTGAGGGGCAGCCTTCTGAGGGGCTCCTCCTCTTCTGGGCTCCCTCAGCACCTGAGCTCTGAAATTCTAGCACCTGTGCCCTGGGCTCTCTGCCCTGCTGCACCTGCAGGGCTCTGCTGCCACCTTTTTGGTGAAGGGACCACTTTGCCTCTTACACATTTCTGGGGGTGCTGTGGATCTCGGTGGAGGGCTCCTTCCTATGGGGACAGGGCTCATTTGTACCACCAGGTGGCACTGCACCTGAGCACTGCTTCACAAAAATCAAAGACCTATTTTCCAGCATTCTGAACCAGGCAGCCCCTCTCCTCCATTCACACGGTGTACCCCTACTTGGGGTCAGATGATTGTCAGTCTCTCCCAAGACCAACTGTCCACATACTGATTTGTGACACCACCGTGCAGTAAGCCTACGTTCTCTGCTTGTGTGGCTGGTCAGACACACTGTGGTAAGTGCTGGGGACACGGGGATGAGTTTGCTCTCAAAGGCACTTGCTGTGACAGGCACTTACTTGTGCACAACTGCTCCATACTCCCCAGCCAATGCCACTCGGCTGGCTGGGACCAGCTCCTGGCTCATCTTGCTGAAGATGGCTTCGCTCGAAGAGCCCGCCTGGAACACAGTCATGATGTAGCCAGGGTTACACAGGTCCTGACGGAAGGCAAGTTCCAAGCCCTGCCTGTGATCTAGACCAGGTAGCTGCTGCCAAGAATTGGCTTTGATCTTCAAGATAAGATAACCTCTCCAAAGGATTAAGCCAAAACTAGCTCCTCCTCAGAGAAAGAGGGGAGGGGCTCTCTGTGACAACTTGGAGGATGCGACCTGTACCTCAGACTTGGCAGCCAAGGTGTAGCCGGGGGCAAGAGGAAAGCCAAGATGGTCAGAGTATAGGCTGCTTCTTCCTGTCTGGGTGCCCCTGGTCACCACCACCGGGTCATTCTGCAGACAGGTGGAGGCTGACAAACGCCACTGGATTAAGCTGTGCAGGATCACAGGCCTTCCCTCCCACAACAAACAGAAACCAAGGAGGAGAATAAGCACCCGATTTTCCTCACTTTACTGTGAATGGCTCCCAGGACCTACAAAGGCTGGTCAATACCAAGAAGTTCCTGTAATAATCACTAGTCCTTTACTTTTGTGAATACAATATCTGCTATGGGAGGTCTGAAGCTAAGGTGGGATTTTTCAGAGGCTAAGGATTTGGTGACCTGTTAGCTATTTCCCCAGTTTGGAGTGTCACGGTCTAAATATTTCGCACCCAAAAATCAAAACAAGACACTGGCTGGGTGTGGTGGCACACGCCTGTAATCTCAGCACTCAGGAGGCTGAGGATCATTGTGAATTTAAGGCCAGCCTGGGCTAAAAGGGAGTTCAAGGCCAGCCTGAACTGCATAGTGAAACACTGTCTCAGAAAGAAAAAAAAAAAAAGAAACTGCACTGTAGTGTCCAGCATGAGCTGCCATGGCTTTGTGCTCCTTAGCCTCAGAAGGATGCTCTGGGCAGGAGAAAGAACACTGGGTCCTGAAGAATTTTCTGAACCGATCTTGCAATGGCACAGTAAAGACACTGAACACAGAAATCTCTGGTTTTGTGCGGGGAGATGCTCTTCAATGCCCCAAAGCCTTTAGCCCTTCCAAGAGCTGACAGCAGGGAGGTGACAAGGAAGCTCCTGACAGTGAGTGGGGTTGAGGGGTGTTTGGAGGACAGGCACCTGGCCCTCCTTCTCCAGGGAGGCACGTCAGGGAAGGAGGGATGGGAAGGAGAGGATAGCCATTTGACTGACTATCAAGTTACAGCCTGCAGTTCAGGCACTTGCTCCTCAGAGTGTGGTTCATAGACCAGTGGGCCTGGCATCACCTGGGAACTTGGTGGACAGAATGCAGACTTTCAGGCTCCACCCCGACCTGCTGAATCCAACTCTGCCTTTGAGCCTGATCCCTAGCTAAGCTGCAGACATAATTTGAAAGGTGCAGCTTCAGGATCTCATGTAACTGAGCAAGGAAGCCTAACGACACAGTTTCTCCACCCTTTCTGTGGAGAACCTGTGTCCTTTTCTGTCTACTTCAAGGAAAAAAAAAACTCCACCAGGTCCACTAGCTGAGCATGTGGAGAAATGCACACTTGAAAGAGCACAGCCCCGGTCCTTACCGAGATGTTCCACATCATCTTGATGGCGAGAGGGAAGGCAGACGCTCCTGGAGACTGCTCCCGCTCTCCTTGTGGGATGACGTCTGGGCCTCTTCCTGGCAGCAGCCTGGTGCTCTTTGACTTCTCTAGGTGCTGGGGCAGTTCAGGTATGGTGGCTTCATATACGGCAGCACTGCAGCCCTTGCCAAGGGACTGTCCTATCAGATAGTCCTCCAGCCGGAAGCCCTGCCAGCGTCGTGTATCCAGTGGGTCAGGAACTGGCTTGTTTTTCTGGGTAAAGATTGCCTGTAAGGAACCCAAAAACCACCATGAGTTAGGGAGCTTGAGGTAAAGGCAAACGGAGTACAGAGATGTATACTGAGGCTGGGTGGGATCAAGAGTTACTCATAATACCCACGTTGGGTTTGACTGCTTGCACCGGCCCTGCCTCTGTCTCTATTTGGAATACTCTTTCTTCCACTCTGTGCTGTGATCAGAGCATACCAGACACAGCACTGCGAGGCAGCAAGCAGGTGAGAACTTCTGGGTCTGGCGGCTGCCTTTGTGGGTATGCTCTCCCTGCAGCCTTGTGCTATCTGACTACAGAGGCAGCTCTCCACAAAGACTGTCTGACAGCTCTGGGATGGCTACCAGAGCTGTGGGATCAACAGGGACCCCAGGTGACCTTGGCAGGGAGGGTGAGACCAGGAGTAGTCGTGAGCTGAGTCACTGAGTGCTATCTTCCCAGCTGGGCCTTGGAGGACACTGCCCAGCCAGCGCTGTTTGGAAAGGCAGTGAGCGTGCTGTGAGAGCTCTGACAGGAACAGATGGGGCGCGGGTACTGGGACGGATGGCGCATTTCCCAAACTCTGGGCTGCTCCCTGCTTCAGGCGGCAGTGGTGATGTCACTTCTCATCACCCAGGCTCCACCTTTGTCCTCCAATGGTCTGATCTGGTGATCTCTTCCTTTCCAAATACATGGTCGGTCACCCACAAGTGCCAGCAGCACTTTGGTACCCACCAAGGCAGTGTCTACAGGGCACTCATCTCTAGACTTCTTTGTGATCACAGGGTCCCTTCACTGCCTCTGGACCAGATCACCCACACTGCTTCCACGTATCACTCTCCTATTCCCAGACCCCACCAGGAAGCTACTCAATACTGTCAGCCCTCCACACCTGCAGGCTCTGCATCTATGATTTGGCAACTGTGGATGGAAAATATGTGGAAAAAACTGTAACTGCACCAAACACGTATAGAATGTTTTCCTGTCATTATTACATGAACAATGCACCATGGTAACTATTTGCATGCCATTTACATTATATTGGACATTATAAGTTACCTAGGGATGGTTTATAGGAGGATATGGGTAGGTTCTACACATACTACACTATCTTTTATAAGAGACTGCAGCAGCCATGGCTTTTGGTATCCGAGGGAGGTCCTGCAACCAATATCCTGTGGATGCCAAGGGACAATTGTGCCTGGTCCTGGAGCTCCGCCAGGCTGGGCTGTGCATGTTAGTACGTAGCTTTCAGCCACTTCTCTCTGGACTCCCATTCACACTATCCCACCCCCCACGCCCCTTATGTCCTCGATCTTGCTCTGCCTGGCACATTTCTATTCTCCCATCAAACCTACAAGTGGCCACCATGATGACCCAGCCCACAGGTCATCTGGAGAATTCCTAAGGCACTCAGTAGCTGTTCCTACACTATCATTCTGAACTTTTTAATAAAAATAAAAGTCGGGCTGGGGATTTAGCTCAGCGGCAAAAGCGCCTGCCTGGCAAGCGCAAGGTCGTGAGTTCGGTTCCCGGTACCGGAGAAAAAAAACAAAACAACAACAACAAAAAAATAAAAATAAAAAATAAAAAATAAAAGTCTAAGCCAGGAGTGGTGGCACACAACTGTAATCCCAGCACTTGGGAGGCTGAGGCAGGAATGCTGTGAGTTTGAGGCCAGCTTCAATTACATAGCAAGGCCCTATCTTAAAAAAAAAGTCTAATCTTTCCTATCTTCTCTTGCCAATAAGTTAGGTTTTTTGTTGTTGTTGTTTGTTTGTTTCTCACTATGTAGTTCAGGTTAGCCTTGAACTCACTATGTACTCTAGCCTGCCTTTGAACTTGTGGCAATCCTCCTGCTTTAGCCCCCCAAATACACCATCACACTTGGCAGCCAAAAAATTTTATAAACTCCATGGAGCAGAAGTACAATTTTATAGAGAAATACCACATCAACCATGATTTTGAGAATAAGATATAGTTTTTTAACTTTTTTTTGAGACAGGGTCTCACTGTCCTCAATCTTGCTCTGCCTGGCATCCACACTTGTGAGTGGGTTCAGGCTGGCCTTGAATACATGGTGCTCCTCCTGCCTCAGCCTCCCGAGTGCTGGGATTATAGGCATGGACTACCACTTCCAGTTTATATAACATAAAGTTTATCATTTGTTGTGGTTTGGATCTAAAATTTCCCTCAAAGGACTCATGAGTAGACGATGGCTTTTGGAAGGTGACTGGGTCACAAAGCTCTGATTTATCAGTGGATTAATCTACTGATGGTTCATAATCTGATGTAAATTTAGGGAGTGGCACTGGTTACAGGGAGTGGGTCATGGGGGATTTGAGGATTATATCCTGTCCCAGGCTCTCTCACCTCTTGCCTGCCAAGAGGGAGCAGCTGTGCAGCTTGGGCTTCATTGCAGGCCCAGAAGCAAGGGAACTGAGTGACTATGGACTGAACGCTCTGCACCACGAGCCAAAACCACCCTTTCTCCTTTAAGCTACCTTTAGCAAATATTTTCACATAGCGACAGAAAGCTGACCACCACTCCATTCTAACCGTCTTTACGTATGCAGTTCAGCGGCATCAAGCACAGCCACACTTGTGCAGCAATCACCATCCATCTCCAGAGCTTTTTCTCGTCTGGCAGAACTGAAACCCTGTACTAATGTAACTTTCAAACCCTGTACTAATGTAACTTTCCGCCCTCGCTCTCTCCCAGGCTAGAACCACTGTTTCACTTTCTGTCTCTGAGTCTATTCTGGGAACCTCTATGAGCAGAATCTTATACCATTTGTCTTCAAGGTTTGTCCAAGTCGCAGAAAACGTCAGAATTTTCTTCCTTTTTACGGAAGTATTAGAACATTCTACTGTGTACAGATACACATTTTTGTTTACCTGTTTTCCAGCCATGGACACCTAGGCCACTTTCATCTCCTGACTATTGTATATTAAGCTGCTATGAACATGGCCATATAAATACCTGTTAATGTCCCTGCCGTCAATTATTTTGGGTATACACTCAGAAGTGGAAATTCTGGATATAGTAATTTTAATTTTTTGAGGAATCACCATATTGTTTTCATAGCAGCTACTTGTATACAGGTTTTTGTATGAACATGGTTTTAATTTCTCCGGGTAAACACCTATGACTGCAAGGAATGGGTGGTATATTAAATGCATATTTAGTGTTGTAAGAAACTGCTAAATTACTTTCCATTTTATACTGTTACCTGCTTGTGATTGGATTTGACCTGATTCTTCTTTTTTTTTTGGTGCTGGGATCAAGGCTAGAGTCTTGTGTATGCTAGGCAAGCACTCTACCACTGAGCTAAATCTCAGTCTGCATTTGTTCTTTTTGTTTGTGTTTCTTTTTAAACATGCCTCCATCTAGGAATAGAGAACAGCTATGACGTTATTCCAGTCTGATATGACATGGAATTTTAGTACTATAGAATAATCAAATCTGGTGATTTTGTTCCAGAGAAGTCAAATACCTGACTTTTCAATGTAAAATTAATAACTAAAATTTTTAAGATACAGGAGGATAACGTGTGAGAAAAGGGCACGTCCAGGGTAAACTTAGATGGATTAATTTAATTTTTTTTTTTTTGGTTTTGGTTTTTTTCCAGTACCAGGAATCGAACTCACGACCTTGTGCTTGCCAGGCAGGCGCTGTGCCGCTGAGCTAAATCCCCAGCCCCAGATGGATTAATTTTAGTAAAAATGAAAAACAAACAAACAAACAAAAAACCTCTTTAGTTTTAAGCAGGATTTGTTAAATTTCCCATTCTTGGTTTCTGTCCGCTAAGAGGTAGCAAGAGAGAAGAAGAACAGGAGTTGGGCACTAGGCTGGACCTCACCTGTCAGCCCAAACTGGGAAGAGCTCAACAGGAGACACACTGCTGAAGAGAAACAAGACCTGGGCTGGGAACCAGGAAACACGAAAGCTAGGGTCTTTAGCCTGCTGTGTCCTTCGGTGCGTCACTACATCCTCCTCCCCTTTGGCCCTGTAAAACGCAGGGCTACACTTTCTCAAATGACCGGTTCCCGGGAAGGACTGACCTCCCCAAAGAGGGTGGAACTCTGGCAGCCGCAGCCTTCAGACTTGCGCGGCAGTCCGGCTCCGCCCGGGTCTGCAGCCTGCCCCGCCGGCCTGCCCGCCAGACTTTAAACTTGCCAGGTCACAGTGAGCCAAATTCTTAAAATAAATCCCTCTCTCTAAATATACACACTCTTCTAGTTCTGTTTGTCTGGAAAACATGACTACTAGACCTTGGTGGAGCAAATACAGAGGTCTCTGAGCTGTTTAAGTATTTTTAAAGCTTAGGAGCGCCTATGCATCCACTCACCAGTGATAACGCTACACAAGTTAATCAAAACGTTAGGTCCGCTGTTTTCTCTCGCCGCTGGTAGCTTTTACTGCAGCTTCAGCCGTCACTGACTAAACAATCTGGCTAACCTCGGCAGCCTGGATCAGTGGTTGAGGGCACAGATTTTGGGCACCGCCTTTATTAGTAAAGTCTGAGCAAGTCCGTTCACCTCTCTGTACATGGCCTCCTCCACAAATGAGGGATTAGCTCTAGGGGTAAGAGTTACGACAGCTGTCATTAACTTTTTAGAAAATTTACACAAAGCCATTTGCCGTGATGCGACTCGTGCTGTAAAGAGCAGCACCATTTCCAAAACATGCTGTTTGAGGAAAGGCAGCAGTTAGGAAATGGGAGCTGCTGGTCTCATACCAAACCATCGGTAAAGGTGAAATAAGTCAATCCCAGCTGGTTGTTCTCCAGGACCTTAACCTCCTCCCACCCACCTGCAGCCACCACCAGATCAAAACTCCACCCCTCAAAAAACAAAACAACTTCACCCCTCTCCAGAACCACATTCCTAGTTCCCAACCAAGATCCACCCATGCATTTGGTCCCGCCCGGGGAGAGGGAGATTGCCCCGCCCCCGCCGGGTCCACACTCCTATTCCGGCTCCCTGCCAGGTTCAGGGCTCGCTCACAGATCCGCCCCCAACTCCTCTAGCTAGAGGGCCGGTGGCCCCACCTGCCCCTTAGTCCCGCCCCATCCTGGTTTAGGGTCCGCCCCCAACTATAGCCCAGCCAACCCCAGCTCAGGACACGCCCACCAACCCGGCCCCTGCACCTAGCCCCACCCACCTCAAGACACGCCCACCCCTAGCCCCCGCCTCGCGCACCTGGATGTCGCGGCACGCCGAGGCCGCCCGCCTGCTCTCCGCCTGCTTCTCCTCGATGAGGCCCAGCCCCAGCCCGAAAGCCAGAAAGACCGCTCGGCCGCAGGGGCCCGCGCCGCCCCGGGCTCGCGCCACGAACTGCCGCTGGAGTCGGGCCGCCAGCCCGGCCACCGACTGGCGGAAGAAGTGGTAGCGGTCGGGGAGCCGGAGCCCGAGTCCACGCGCCTCTGCGCCGAGCAG